TTTAATTGTAGTTTTTTGTTTAATCAAACCACTATATATATTTATATATAAAATGTTGTAACAAATCGCGGACTTTTTTATGATTCGCTATAAAATTTATCAGAAATATGATTAATTCGTTTAGTAATAAATTAAGTATGAAATTTTATATTTAGAACAAAATGAATGACTAATAAAGTAGGTAAAATTGGTAATAAATTTGTTTAATTATATAACGTAAAGTATAATTAAAAGTTCAGTTTCATAATTCAATCAAAATTTGTATCATAATTATAGTAAAGTATTTTTTAATATTTGTTTATTAAAACCAATTTTATAATAAATAAAATAAAGATAAAGGATATATAGTGCTCTTTATAATTATATACAATCAAATAAAATAAAATTGCAAGATACTTATTACAAAATGTATATGACTAATGTACGCGTATACAAAGTCAACGTGTAGAGAAATTCATAAAAAAAGCTCTAAAAATATGCAACATGTATTTAAAACGTAGCAAATAGTTAAAGCCGTATTAAGATTTATATTAGTAGTATTTAAAAATAAAATTTGATACAAAAATCTTAAGTTTTTCCTATAATTTAATTTACCGGCCGAACGTCCTTCAAGCGACCCTCGAACGAAGGCTTGTTTCAGGTTAAAAACACATTTTAGGACTCGCCCCTAAAATTTAATTATTAAAATTATCTAATTAAACTCAAGTTAGTACGTTTTATTGTTAAAAAAGCTCTAAAGTTAGTGAAAATTAGTACGATATATGAGTTGTTAATAAAATGAAATGAATTAAATAAATTAATTTTATAAAATACCTTTAATTTAAAATCTACCACGGTCGGCGTAGACGCTAAAATAAAAAAACAAAATTAACAAATTAGTTAACAACTCATATATTAAATTTTATGGGAAAATGTTATATTCATATCAAATTAACTAGATCATTCGTATATTAATTGATAGAAAATTTTCTTCTTTCTTCGCAAATATAAAATTAATTAGTTGAAAAAATCTTTTAGAAATTTCAAATATTTAGCATAAATTTAATTAGCTTATTGTACAGATCGGCTGGGACATTCCTTTGAATTAATTAATTTTTTAAACAAGTTAGATTAAAGAAAAATTAAATACTAAATTGTTTATGTTTATTTCTAAATTTTAAGAACAAATCAAAATTAGTTTTCATATAAAATGCAACTGTATTTACTCTGTGTTTAAAATTTGAACAAAACTACAAAAATAGAGGATATTACAAAAAAAAAGCCATATTTCAGTAAGATAGCTTTTTCAATGGATTAAATGAAGAGTGTTATTATTATTATTATTTTATAATGTCCTTGAATTCTAAACTTTTACCAATAGTCTTGTTCGATTGCAACTAGTTTACGATATCGAAAAGATCAATAAACCATAATAATATGCAAATATATGCACTAAATCTATTTTTTTCAATTTATCGATTTATTTATGGACATGTAGTGTTACGAATATTTTTATGAAAATAAAATTACGCAAACTTTGGAATCTTCCCGAGAAAGAGAAATGTCGGGACAAATAAACTTTCCATATATGTCGGGCACAAATAATATCATATGTCAATTTTAATCCAAGGAAATAGTCAGAGAGCTGGTGGAAAAAGAACTGGTAGAAAAAAAGCTATATGGATCAGAGGTATGGACTCCAAAAATAGATTTCCAAAATGTGGCAGTAGAAAACAATATAGACGTGAATGGCAAAAATTGAGAAGTTTTAATGGAAAAAGAAAGATCTCTAGTTTCTAAAGCAAAAATTGATGTTGTAAACAAATTTATAAAAAAAATTCAAAAAAAGTCTATAAAATGGTCTAAGACCATTTAATAAATAAATATATATACACCTAAGTCTGTTTTTACACGGAGATTGGTTCCAGAAGAATCCGTGTAAAAAAAAAAACGTGTAAAAAAAGACATCGATCTTATACAAAAATGGGTGATTTGTTCCTAATCTCTAAAACCTATTAAAATTGGTGAAAAACAAGAATTTTTAAGAACAAGAATTAAATTAGTGCTGTTCACATTTGCTTTAAAGCACCAGTAAAAATTGTTTGTACGCGCTAAAGGGGAATTCACTTAAATCTTTAGGCTAGTGTTCGCAAACTATCGATACTATCGATGGTTTCAGACTTTTTTCTTTCATAAATACTTTTTTGTGATATGAATATACTTCGCAAAAATTTAATTTGACAAAAAAAATTTAGGTACATAAAATTTCAAATCGTGCTAAATGGAATAAATTCGTGTAAAAAAAATTAAAAATATTCAATTTTCAAACCGTGTTATATCAAAACCGTGTACAAAAAGACCGTGTAAAAACAGACTTAGGTGTATATATATATATATATATATATATATATATATATATACAACTCTCCGATGTAATACTCAACTTTCGGTTACCTAATATCTATTTTTTACTATTTACAATTAACTCGACTAGTGCAATAAATAAAATAGTAAAGTACTAAAAGTACTTACATACTCATTATGTGATTACTCGTATTACACATGTAACACATTGTAAATTAACATACATACACACATAGAGAAACAATCTCTAACTTGTTTGATTGAGAAATTATGAAATCTGATATGAGAAAAGGTAAAATAGATATAAAAGGTACTTTTATGTCAAATGATTCAGACTGACTTACAACGTCGGGAAAATGAACAGAGGAATCCTATTATTAGTGAATTTATTGTTTTTTTTATTAATGAATTCATAAAAATTAAATGTTTTTATGTAATCATTTTAATATCGTTCACAACTTTCTTCGGTGCTTCTGAATTTAAAATAAGACAACTTTTTAGATCAATTTAGATTATACAAGATCTAAAACAAAACAGCAGATCTATAGATTATTACTTAACAGATACTTTCAGACTTGAATCACATTAGCGATTTTTTTTAATAAATTTTTTTGCACCAAATCATTTTGCATTCCATATTTTTTTGCGTTTCTTTCGATAGAAAGTCCAATAATATAAATATATATGTATATATATATATATATATATATATATATATATATATATATATATTACTAAAAATATAATTTTTCACTTACCGCAGGTGCAGGAGCCTGAATTTTCCCAATATTGGAATTAGGGGCTGCCCCTCCACCGGAGGACGCCCCTAAAAAGGAGGAAATTAGGCTCTTGAAAAATGTTCCGGAATCCGGGGGCCCTGCTGAAGGGTCGTCACGGGTTCCACCCTAAAAAAATAAAAAAAAAAATGTGATAGAAAGCAGTTAACCCAACTATAGTTAAAAGTATCTATATAAATGTAAAAAAATCAGAGAGAAAATTTTTCACATACACATTTTTCAGCATACTGTTATTTTATTTATTTTTGAACAATCAAGAAATGAAATCAAAATCCTAAGATAATTAAAAAAAAGTCAAACTAGTCACAACAAAATTAAAGTGTCCTTAAATCAAGAAAAACTTCCTATTTATTTATTACATTTATGACTTTAGTAAAATCTATCAACAGACTTTAATTTTAGTTTTCTTTCAACAAAAAAAAAGAATGGCGCTATTTGAAGTAACAAAGTAAATCAATAAAGTTACAAAATAAATCAATCCATAGTTAATTATTCCTAAAATTGATAAGGGATGTTTTTGTAAAAATACTGAATTAATATTATACTTTATTTATTTATATATTTTTAAGGTAAATATATTTTAATCATTTTAAGGTACTGGTAAATCCAGTAAATTAATTACATATCTATTCTCGTAAAATCATTAATTTTATGTTTGAAATAATTCCATAACTACTTTAAATGATGTTTATAATTTTTATTAGAATCTTGATGAAATTTTATTTATTTAATGTACCCATTATCGTTAATAATAAAAGCATTTTGTTTAGAAAGTTATCGATTAAATTTGTTTAGAAACTAATTTATCGACCGTTTATCAAATTAAAATATCTTGAAAATCATCGTGAACGAAATTGAAAGTGTTTAAGATTCTGATAAATAAATAAATTGTATATAAATATAAATATATATACATACACATACACATACACATATATATATATATATATATATATATATAAATGTATGTATGTATTAAATAATTATTTAAACTTACCGCACTCAGCTGGGCAAATAATCTACCAAGGAATGTACCGAAGAACTGACCATTATTTTTCTAAAATTAAAAAAACACAAATAACATTAATAAAAACTACAAATATATTTTTAGAAAATTGTATAAACCTTAAAATATAACCACACACTAATTTGAACTAAATTTGATAAATTTTCATTCATTTTATGATTAATTACCCAAGTCTTTACCAGATCTGATGCATGCATAAGATATTTTATCAATATTAATATCTAAGGACTTGGTATTTTATATTTTGGTTTATATAAGTCTATTAATAAATTTATATTAAAAATACTAAGTATTAATGATTATTAATTAATATTTTTTAATTTAAACTTACAGCACCGCCTCCAGAAAATCCATCAACACCAGTTGTTATATATTTGGCAAAAGTTGCACCTAAATTTTCGTTCGGTCTCTGCAAAAAAATTGAATTTATATATAAATAATTATGAAAATATAAAATTGAAGGTTGTAATATAATTTACAATATTTTGTTTAAATTTGAAAAATATTAGGTTCTATTAAATCATATCGAGAGTGTTGTAAAAAATATTTTAAATCGAAGAACAAAGATAGAGAAGAGTTTTAGTACTGTGATATACTGTGAAGTAAAAATTAAATTTTGACAAAACTAGTAAAAATAGAATTAAATGAATGATTTAAATGAAATTTATAATAGTTTGTTCAAATTTATTAAATACTAAGATCGTCAACAGCACGTCAGAAGTATTTTAAAAAAATTATGTTTAAAATAAAATAAAGATAATTTTAGAAGTCTCATATCGGTTCATTTTTGCAAATTTTAAGTATTTATTCGTAATATGTATAAAATATAAAATATCCACATTTGAAAATTCATTACTTTTAATTTATATTCTATAACCACTAGTTATAAAAAATATTAAAAATTGTAAAGTTTTAATTAATCTAAAACAAAATTGTATAAAATACATTAATTATTTACACACTTAATTATTTTTATTTTTTTTAAATTTTCAGTAAATTAATTTGAAATAAAAAAAATTGGAACAATAAAATGGTTTTTATACAACTTTTTTTTAAATAACTATATGAAGCAAACTTTAATTTGAATTTATTAAGAAAAATATTCATTCATTTTATGAATAAAATGATTCAATTAAAAAATAGAAGAGTGAAGCAAAATTTATATGGGTGAGATATTCTAATCTATGTTAATATATATATATATATATATATATATATTAAATAAAATATTAATTTACCATTAAAAGTCCTCCTAATAATTGTGTGGCTGAACCAATGGCCATATTAACATCTATACCATTTTCCTAAAAAAAATAATTCATAAATAAATAAATTTATATATATATATATATATATATATATATATATATATATATATATTTATTTATTTATATAAATATTTATTTATCACTCACCCCCAAAAGATTTGTTAAAATTCCAGCAAGGGCTGCAAAAAGTGCATTTGCATCTGACATTCCATTTCCCTAAAAAAATAGATAAAAATAATTTATATTTAATTTATATATTATTTAATAATTTATTAGGCCATATAATAATTAATTTATTATAAATAATAAATATTGCAAGACAATATTTGAAAAAATCTAAAATATGAATATTGTTTAAAATATTTAAAGGAATCATTTCCCAGTGTGTTCGTATTTTTCTATTAATAATATTATTTTTGTATCAATTTTATGATCATATTTGTTCTTGTTTTGTCACAAGTTATTATACTTAAATACTTATTGTTAATAAATTGGTTTGAAATACTAAAATATATGAGAATTGTTAATTTTTTTTCATTTATTTACATATAGACTCACAAAAAATTCATTTTTTAGTAAAGTACTAATAACCTAATAATTCAACCGACATAAAATATTTTTAAAAAAACTTTGTGTCAACTCTGGAATTTCAAAAAAAACTTAGTAATTAGTTAAAAAAATTTGAATTTTTCGATTTTTTAATTTTTATTTAGGTTTTTTCCACTCACCCCTCCACTAAGACTTCCAATTAAACCAATAAGTCCATTTCCAGCCCCTGTATCATCATCATCATCAAAATCCTCCTCCTGAATTTCTTCCTGTCTGGATTCGACGACTGTGTCGTTTTTAGTCGAAATTGCTGGTATTGTCGAAATTTCATTAGCCTAGTAAAAGACATATATATAATTTAAAAAAAGTACATCAGGCACAAAATTAATATTATATTTCATTTACCTCAGGGTTGACAGGATCCAACTGCCTCTTGCTCCTTCGAATATTTTCAGTCAATTCTGCCTAAGGAAAAACATTGTGATAAATTTTTTAGTTAACTCTGTCTAAGAAAAAACATTGTGGCAAAATTTTTAGTTAACTCTGCCTAAGAAAAAACATTGTGATAAAATTTTTAGTCAACTCTGCCTAAGAAAAAAACATTGTGATAAAATTTTTAGTTACTCTGCCTAAGAAAAAACATTGTGACATAATTTTTAGTTAACTCTGCCTAAGAAAAAACATTGTGACATAATTTTTAGTTAACTCTGCCTAAAAAAAAACATTGTGATAAAATTTTTAGTTTCTCTGCCTAAGAAAAAATATTGTGACAAAATTTTTAGTTAACTCTGCCTAAGAAAAAACATTGTGATAAAATTTTTAGTCAACTCTGCCTAAGAAAAAAACATTGTGATAAAATTTAGTCAACTCTGTCTAAGAAAATGTTTGTAATTAATTTTTTTGTAGGTTTGGGTTTGTAGGTATGTACTTACTAAACTTTCTAGAATTTTTTTGATAGATTTTTGGTTCCTTTCGTTTGGTTCAAAATTGTACATTGGGCCGGTTGCATCTTGTAAAGATTGCGAATTTTCGATTTTTAGTCGTTTAGAATTTTCTCGGACCCGAAGAGCTTTTGCTGCTTCTTTCTTTAACAACTGAAAAAAAAATATTTAAATTATTATTAATTATTTTAATTATTATTTATTTATTTATATTACCTCTAGTAGTGCTGCTTTCTGGTCCTCGATATTGATATCATCGATTTCCGATGAAAATAAATTGGTACCACCAATTTCATCATTGATTTCGGGAACTGGTAAAGAATTTACCAGAAAAGGCGTCGCCACCAGAAAAATCACCACCGACCACTTATACATATTAACTACACTGAAAAATAACAAAAATATTATAAATAATTAACTATATTGATAAATATTTAATAATTAAATTAGTACAATTAGGAAACAATAAATAAATTGTTATGTGTTTTATTAATATGAAATTAAGCACTCAGTAGTATTTTATTTTTGAATTTTATAAAACTGCAAAGTGCTATTATTTATTTGATAATTAAAATAGATTCTTTACATCAATTTTCACTTTTAAGCTTTTTCTGATCTAGTTTATACATTTTCATTTATTTTTTAATTTATCTGTTTTATATTTTATTGAGGTAAAATAATTTTGTTTCGATTTTCTTATAATATATAGATAATAATAATTTAATTAATAATATGATTGATTTTTCTATATTTCATTTTTTCTCTATATTCATTCACTTTAATTATATTTATAAATTTATTTATATGTATAAATTATCATTTTTTTTTAATTTAATCTGCAAAAAATTGGTTCAAAATTTATCATTTTTTTTAGTTTTGTAAAAAAATCTTGTGTATTAATTTTAATAAATATTATATACAGTAGAAAATTAATCACTTTAAACTTTGCGTTATATAAAACAAATTTAATTAAACAATCTAATTATTAATAAATTGATTGAAATTTTTTTCCAACTATTTAAAACTAACAAGAATTTCTCAACAAATTTAATAATTTTCATTAAGTCATATTTAATAATTTCGAAAAATACTTAAAAAAGTTCTGGAAACCACATTTGTTAATAAATTAATATTTATAATATTTTTTTAAATTAATTTATTTATAATTATTATCAGACTAAAAATAATACTTTGTTGTTTTTGATTAATAAATATAATAAAATTTTTATAATATTATAAATTAATTAAAATATATATCTGATATTTCAAAATATGAGATTAAATTGAATTTCTCTGAATATCACATTTATTAATATATTTTATATTATTATGAATTTCAAAATTAAATCTTTATTTATAATATATTTTACCAAAATAAATATATTATTCATAAATATATCAAGACATAACACTGTTATTTGTTTTTTTTATATATTTTATTTTTGTTTTTTAAGTTTAATTATTATTAAAAATGTATTTTTAGTTATAAATGCCAAACTAAGCCAAATAAATTTTTATTATAATTCCACATAAAATGTATTTTTAGTTATAAATGCAAACTAAGCCAAAAAAATTTTTATTATAATTCCACATTCCAAAAATATTAAAAAAAATGATTAGAATTCATTAAAAATTGTTTTATTTGCCTATTAACATATTTTAATTCACCAGTACTGGATTCATTAATTATTATAATTATTTATTATATTATATACAAATTTATCACATTTTATAATATTGAGTTCAAATAAAAACTTTACTAAACAAAAATTTTATTAATTAATTTTTGATTACGTAATATTGTTAACCTAATTTATATATATATATATAATATATGTATATATATAAATATATATATATATATATATATATATACATATATCACTACAATTAATATAAACTTTGAGCAAAACTTCGAACAAAACTCGTTGATTCATAACATTTTTTATCAGACAAAAATATTTTTCCTAAATATATCCGAGCACATTTTTTTCACCAAAAGATTTCCAAAATTTACCCTCACATATATTTTACTAAAACATACCGATTCAATCCAAGATTCAATATCGATAACAATTTTTTCCCAACTAAACCTGAATTAGTGCACATTTTAAGTTTTTATACTCGTTTTGCAAATCCTCCTCGGCCATTACATCACATAATGACATACTCATATAGATGTAATTTCTATAATTTCAGAAAATTTCTGAATTATAACTTAGAAAGCGAACGATTTACTGTGTAATTTTGTATTTTGGAATTATGAAATATTGTGAAAAAATCGATAATGGAATTTTTATTCATGTCCTAAAACATTGACTCGTCCTCTATGAGGAGTACTAATCGATGATGAATAATCGATTGAATTAAAATAAAATGAATATTAATTTAATCAAATGTATTATATATATATATATATATATATATATATATTATATATATATATATATATATATATATATATATATATATATATATATATATACATGTATGTATTTATATGTAAATAGTGCAAATATTGCACCTAATTACGTTCAAAGTAAATTAGTCGCTGGCCTTGAATTTTTTCTTAAATTTCAAATTAGAAAAGTAAATGTTTATATACGTCAATACACCTTTGTAAAATGTGCAAAAAATATCTGTGAAGTAGAAGTCACGAAATGAATTAATTTTAGAATTGATGCAATTTTATAATAAATCTATAATAGGTACATTCATCATTATTAAGTAGTTGTGGGTTTATAGAAATGTGTAAAGTATATGTTAAATATACAACATCCATTACAAATTATGTCATTGATGTTTAAATACAAGGGCTAGTACAAAAATTTAAGATTTTACACTAATCCCATTTTCTGGTCGCGCGACGTTTGAGCGACCTCGAACGAGGGCAAGTTTCAGGTTAAAAACACATTTCAGGGACTCGCTGCCGCCCGCTTTTAATTATTATTAATATTTGCTATAAATATACAAACTTATGGCATCAAAGCATGATTATTACGATATTTTGGATTACATAATTATTTCTATAAAAAATAGCAAAATTTTACTGTAAATTCTAGAAAAATTTTTTAAAAATGGAATTTACGAGCTTTAGTTATATTTCGCACTTAGAAGCTATAAAGATCAAAAAAATATATTTAAAACTATAAAAATGGAATAAATAAAAGGCGGTCTATGTTTATAATGTTTAAGAAAAAAAAATCTGATACATTTTTTTAAGATATCACCAGAATATCAGTTCCGGCCAAACGTCGATTTAGCTTACCCTCGAACGGGGACTCGTTTCAGGTTAAAAATACATTGTAGGGACTCGAGCTAAAGACCGTATTGAAAAAATATGAATATTTACAAAATAAATCAAATATAAAATGAAAACTTTTTCTATAATCATTTTTACACATTTATAACATATCGCTATTAATATACATCACGATTTAATTCAAAAATTATTTAACTAAACTAAATAGATAAAAAAATATATATAATTTACTTTAAAATTTATTTATATAATATACTCTAAAATTTAAAATAATGTTTACAGTTTTGTAGGAATCTCTAAAAATGGTTAAAAATTTTGGAGATCTCTATAAAGTGTTTGAAAAATGTCTGGAAATTTCAAAAAATATTTCAAAGTTTGTGGGAATTCTAAAAATGATTAAAAATGTTTAGAGGTCTATAAATTTCTAAAGGAATTTCGAAGGGGACTTCTAAAAAATATTTAAAAAATGTGTGGAAATTTCAATAAATATTTTAAAAAAGTCTGTCATTTCTAAAAACAAAAATAAACTAAAAATATATTAGAATTGCTAAAAATGATAAAAAATATCTGGAAGACTCTGAAAGTGTTTAATAATGTTTATGGATCTTTAAAAAATATATAAAAAATGTCTGAAAATTTCTAAAAATATTTTAAAAATGACTAGGAATTTCTAAAAATGGTTCAAAATATTTAAAAATGTTTAGAATATATTGTAAGTCTGCGATGGCATTTAAAAAATGTTAGGACATCTTAAAAAGTATTTGAATAATGTCTGGGAATCTCTAAAAAATATATCAAAACCGTAAAGAAACTATGTATCCATGATCAATTAATTAATTTAATTATTAACGAAATAACTTATTTATTAAGTAGTTAACAATTTATTTCTCATAAATCTATTTATCCAGTTTTGTTAGACAATGAACAAATTTCATTGACAAACCTTGACTATAGAAAAATTTCGTAAATTCGTCCGGAAGTTTGGTTAATAAACATTTACAAATTATTATTATATTGACCGTGATCTGGATGAGTACTCATTGTTTAATGTAAAAAATATTATTAAATCATTATTTAATAATTAACATAAAAGAATATTATTGCCCTCTGTATCATTTGTGAATAAAATATTTGTGCAAAATTAAACGATTCAGTGTCAAATGGTTCAGAATGACTTGAAACTAAATAATTGTTGTTAAAGACTTGCCAAGATAATTGCAATTAGTTTAACCTAAATTCTGTGCACAATCTATTGTCATCTACCAGTGAACATAATTTACCTAGTTATAAACAATTTCCATTACTATTATTATTATTATTATTAACAATCCAAGATGTACTACTTTAGATTATCGTTCACAAGTTAACCGTGATGAGAAAAGATTCAAGGAAATTTTACATGTTTTTCATTTCATTTAATAAGACGAGCGAATTATAAAAATTATGAGGTTGACAACAAACTAGACGACTTGTCGGAAATATTGTTCAATGTTCATTGAAACTTCATTGTTCTGACGTCATTTGCAAATATTAATTTGTTTATAAAAAATAAATACTTGATTTACGTGCAACTAATTGATTGAAAACGCTCGAATTTGGATTGGAAGATTTTTTGTTCAGTAAAGTCGATATGTGAATTTATTATGTACTGTGTATCTTGTAGTAGTGAGTCATTAACAATTTTGTAATAAATTGATAAGTTTATAAATAATAATACAGCGAAGGCAAAATTCAGTTTTTTACCTTCTTCTTCGTATTCAAGAAACCTTTTGCGTTCAATGCAAAACCTGAATACTCAATACTTTAAGTTTTGCAATATCTATTGCAGAAACACGATTAGTATTTGCAAGATAATAGTTGCATATGTACACTGATATAGGTATATATATATATATATATACATATATATATATATATATATATGTGTGTGTGTGTGTGTGTGTGTATTAATAAAACAAAGAAAACCTTGCTAACAGACATCCATCCAAATATAAAGCAATAACCAAGATCTGTGTATTAAAAAAAAAATCCAAAAAAATCCATTTGTAAATTAAGAAAATTATAGAAACACCAAACCATTTTTTCACTTCATTCAAAAAACTACTACAAAATAGATTTTATCA